TCAAAATGCCTGAGTAAAAAAAAAAAAAAAAAAGAAAGAAACAGGTGAGTGAAGATATTAGGGCAAGAGAATTTATTACAAGAGCTATTGTTATTGTAAGTTTTGCTTGCTTGTCTCTGTCGGTTGCACTTTGGCTTTGTTTTCGCTTGGGTTCAGCTTATGGGGGTACGTTTTAGAGGCATGATTCTACGCCGGGGTTCTGATAATAAGTGAGAGGAGGAGGAGAGGTAGAGGCAGAGACAGAGAGAGAAAGAGAGAGAGAGAGAGAGAGAGAGAGAGAGAGAGAGGAGAGAGAGAGAGAGAGAGAGAGAGAGAGAGAGAGAGAGAGAGAGAGAGAAGAGAGAGAGAGAGAGAGAGAGAGAGGAGAGGAGGGAGGGAGAGGAGAGAAGAGAGAGAGAGGAAGAGGGAGAAGAAAGAGAGAGGACGAGAGAAAGATAGAGAAAGAGAAGAAGAGAGAGGGGGAGGGAGACGCGAGCGTCGCACCTGTGATGACGTTGATGTCGGGCACGTTGTCCGAGGAGAGGTCCACGAGCCTGGGGTTCCTCTCGAAGGCGTCCCTCAGCAGCCGCTTCTTGGTCGCGGATCCGCACAGCCGGTAGAGGCCGATGATGTCGAGTCCGCGGCGCTCGACCTCGGCGACGCAGCGGGCGATGAGCAGCGGCACGGTGCCGCCGCCGCTCTCGCGGTTCGACACGGTGTCGAGGTCGACGCCGAAGAGCGCGTTCTTGCGGCTGGCGGGCGTCCTGAGGAAGGCCTGGCGCGGCGGCGTGTAGCGCAGCTTGAGGTACAGCGTCCCGCGGGGCTCAATCTTGAGCGCCAGCTGGTGCAGCGGCGACTCCTTCAGCAGGCTCACCAGGTGCACCGAGCCCTTGTAGCAGAGCTTGTGCCTGAACTGCGGGTCCCACGAGTATATCAAGAAGTCCAGTTCCTTGTTGTTGATGAGGTCCAGGTCGAAGGTCTCGTCCCAGTCGAAGTTCAGGTCCCCGGTGCGGACGACTGTGCGCGCCTTGTGCACCCGGTCGCACTCCAGCACGCAGTACAGGTCGCGGAACTCCGACCTGCCGGCGGCCTTGAGCCCGCGACCCGCCAGCAGGTGCACCCACAGCATGCCCGAGACGCCCTCCGTCACGCCGCCCATGTTGCCTACGCCCACTTTGTACTTCAGGAACTCTGCGGTGGAAAGGAGGCGCTCGAAGGTGCAGCAAGGGGAGGCAAGGCTCAAGGTGTGTATAGTAGGAGAAGTGAATAAAAACATGGATATGTATTACTGTGCAATATATGAATATTGTTAAATAATTCTATGTTGGCTATTTTATATCATTTGAACTCTTATTCAGTGAGACATAATGGAATGACCTTCATTACTGATGATGTTAATTCAATTTCCTCTCTCCAGGATTCGCGGTTTTTCTATACATAATATCCAGTACGATAAAAGATCAAAACCGTGTCGGTAACCTTATAACAGAAACAGGCATTGTTATGCTTTTCAGCAATATTACAACACTTCTAATTTATTGTGCCAGCTGCCCTTATTGTCATAGGAATTCTCTTATCGTTTCTTTTTATTTGATTTCCATCACCTTATCGACGGGGTAACAGCTGTGATACCAACGATAACAATTACAGTGACAGTAAAATGTATCACTGATATTACCAGTGCCATTAATTACCAGGATGCATTGCCATTGCCATGATCGTTGCCAGGGACATCATCATTACCAGAACTTGCATCTCAACTTCCTGAATGTATATCAATATCATATCAACGCCTAGTTATATATCACAAATCCTGTCAGCGTAAACATTACGATCTCATCACATCAGCGTATAACATACACCGCGTCGCCATCATACATACACACGCATGCCCCCCCCCACCCCCACCCCACCCCCACCCCCCACACACACCCCCTAACGTGCTCACCTGCGGGGTTGATGTCAATGAGCCTCAGCGCAGGACGCCCTCTGGTGGGAGAGGGGTGTGGCACGCCCCTGGCCTCCTCCAGCGCCGCCCGCACCCGCCGAGAGGGAGGCTCCAGGCGCCCGAGCTGCCTCGAGGGCGTGCCGGCTCCGGGACCCAAGTGCAGGCGCTGGACGTAGTACGGCGCCTCCTGCGGGAGGAAACGGGTCAGGCGCCGTTGTGGCTGCGTCCCTGGCCTCCCTGGCGCCTCCGGGGGCAGGCCGGAGGAAGGACCTTCGCTTGCCGCCGTCAGTATAACCACCTTTATTATTATTATCATTATCATTATTGGCATTGTTACTATCATTATTAATGTGATCATTATTACTATTATAATTACCATTATCTTTTTACTTATTTTTTATTATTATCATTATTATTTTCTTGTTATTATTATTACTATCATTATATTTATCATCATTATCATTATACATCTTATCATCATTATTCTTTTCATAAATATCATTATAATTGTCATTATCATTATCATTATTGTTATTATTACTATTATTATCATTTTTATCATTATTGTCATTATCATTATCAACATTACTATTAGTTATTATTTCTGTTGTTATTGTTATTACTATTATCATCATCAGTATCATCATCATCGTTATCATTATCATCATTATCACTATTGTTATCATCGTCATTATTATTATTGCCATTATTACCATTATTATCACTATTAGTATTGTGACCATTGTTATTATGATCATAATAATAATAATAATAATTATTATTATTATTATTGTTATTATTATCATTATTATTATTATTATCATTATTATTATTATTGTTATTATTATTATTGTTATTATTATCATTATCGTTATTATTATTATCTTCATTATCATTATCATTATAACTACTATTATCATAATCATGCTTAATATTATTACTATTATCATTATTATTATTATCATTATCACTGTTCTTATTCTTATCTTTATTACTATCATCATTATTATCAATATTACTGATAGTAGTAGTAGCAGTATTATTATTAGTATTGACATTATAATTGTTAGCTTTATCGATAACAGTATTATCATCATCAACATTATTGTTACTATTACAATGACAATAATAAGGATAATAATAGTAATAATAAGTATTATTGTTATCGCAATTATTATTGTTACTATCATCGTCCTTCTCTTTATTATTATTATTAGTTATAGTAGTAATAGTAGTAGTAGTCTGATATCATCACTATCATTATTATGATTATTAATGTAATTTTTAGAAACCATTACTAATATCATTATTACTATTTTACTCTTCCGTTCCACCCCCCCCCCTTCCCCCTTTAATTTCCGTCTCTCACTCTGTCCTCTTCTACTGTCTTCTTGCCCACTCCTGTTCCCTTATTCCATCCCCCCCCCCCTGCTAACCACCACTGTCCCCTTCCACACACACAGGAATATATATGCATATATATGCATATATATGTGTATATACATATAATATATATATATATATTATATATATATATATATATATATATATATATATATATGTATATATATATATGTGTGTGTGTGTGTGTGTGTGTGTGTGTTGTGTGTGTGTGTGTGTGTGTGTGTGTGTGTGTGTGTGTGTGTGTGGTGTGAGTGGTGGGTGTGGTGTGTGAGTGTGTGTGTGTGTGTGGTGTGTGTGTGTGTGTGTGTGTGTGTGTGTGTGTGTGTGTGTGTGTGTGTGTGTGTGTGTGTGTGTGTGTGTGTGTGTGTGTGTGTGTGTGTGTGTGTGTGTGTGTGTGTGTGTGTGTGTGTGTGTGTGTGTGTGTGTGTGTGTGTGTGTGTGTGTGAGAGAGAGAGAGAGAGAGAGAGAGAGAGAGAGAGAGAGAGAGAGAGAGAGAGAGGAGAGAGAGAGAGAGAGAGAGAGAGAGAGAGAGAGAGAGAGAGAGAGAGAGAGAGAGAGAGAGAGAGAGAGAGAGAGAGAGAGAGAGAGAGAGAGAGCATTACAAGCTCTGTACTTGTTGATCTCTAATTCTAGCTTTCAATACTGCTGATATTCTCATCCTTATGATACATCTTTTTCCCTTATCTTGTTATTTTGCTATAATCCGTTTTACGATTTTTTATTATTGTTATTACTGTCATTTTCATTGCCATTACTATCATTGTTATTATCATTATCATCATTACTGTTATTAATATTGATTATTACTGTTATGGCCATTATTACTGTTATTATAATTATCGTCATTATAATGATTTTGCTATCAATATTACATCATAATCGCCATTGTCAATATTGTAACCATCCTCATTTTCATTATTTCATTATTCTTACTTTTTCATTATCATTACCATTATCACTCATTGTTATCATCAGTATTACCATTATCATCATTATCACAAATATTATTGCCAATATCATTATTGTAATTATTATCATTATCATTATTATTATCATTATTATTATCAGCATTATAATTATTATTATTACCATTATTACCATTATTATTATTATCATTATTACTGCTGTCATTATTATTATTATCATTTTACACAAGAATCGAATAGCTGCCACTTCAGGCATTATCCAAAATGAGTAATGCTATATATATTTGTGTGTGTGTGTGTGTGTGTGTGTGTGTGTGTGTGTGTGTGTGTGTGTGTGTGTGTGTGTGTGTGTGTGTGTGTGTGTGTGAGTGTGTGTGTGTGCATACACATAAGTACATATGTATGTGTATATATATAAATAAATAAAGAAAAAAAATGTATATATATTGTAACACCTGATATGTAATAAGCATTGAAACAGAATTATAATTTGAAATGGTTGTATGTTTTTTATGGTCTCGTATGTTTGTGGAAGTTATCGTACATCATACATCTTTGTTTTGTGAGAAAGGGACGCTGTCAGCTTGCATTATATATTGTTAACCCATTTATGTTTTTACAAAACCTAAGGAAACGCCAAGAATGTGGTTAAAACCAATCTATATTGTTAACCCATTTATGTTTTTACAAAACCTAAGGAAACGCCAAGAATGTGAGTAATTAAAGATTAATACATATACTTT